AAACATAAATCAGAATTAAAACAGAATATGGCTGAGAAAATTAAGAAATTTAAAATAGAAAATAATTAAGGAGTGTTGAATTGCTAACAACCGCTAAAATGTTTAATAATCATTTAAACAGAAAGTTTTCAATAAAAAAATAATTAAAATTTCCTAATTATTATTATCACAAGATGAATTTTTAACATCATTACTTAAATTTCATTGATATAGATAAATTTGTTTTTATTTGATTAAACTTACTTTAAAAGAAACATTTGAAGTCAGATAAATTAAAATCCTTGAATAGTAATAATCATTTTTATATACATATTTAAACTGCTCTCATGTAGACTTGCTTTTGTTGACAATTTCTGGGAATATTTTCCGCAGATAAGGTCCGCAGTAAGTAATTGAATAGGAGGTTAGTTTTAAATTATACTTGAGAAGAACAAAGTTATTATAAGAAAACTTTGTTGAATATTTATGATTAATTTTATTAAAATAGGTTTGAAAAATTTTTGGGGACAATCTCATTTTTGTTTTAAACATAATCAATAATACTTGGTGTAAACTGAGTTTATACACATTTAATGCACAAACGTAAAAGTGATTCGCAAGGAGTATTTCGGTAGGCTCTAAACACTATTCTGCTCGCATGTTTTTATTTGTTGTCGATTTTCTTAAGTTTTGTATAGCCAGTACCCAGTGGGCATTCGGACGTCCGTTTTGGACCAAGAGACGTCCTAACTGGAAGAATCGTAGACGTCCAAAGGACTTACTATTTTAAACGCTTTTCGTCCGTCCCAAAGGGACAAAATAAAGATGTCCATAGGACTTCATAAAATTTGTCGTGTGGACGTATAACCTACGTCTTACGGACGTCTTAAAAACCAATACCCGATACAGTATTTAATGGTCTTATGAAAGTCTTTTATTTTAGATTTTTTTTTTTAAATTAAGTTGTTTGCAATCTGCTGTTTATGACCGAATTTCCATCAATAATACTAGCTAATAACTAATCAAAATTCTCTCAGTGCAAAAAAACAACAACACAATAATATTATAATAACATTTATCGTGAAAATAAGTTATCTTAAAACAAAACAACATTAAACATTAACTATTAGGCTCTTTATTCTCTTTTTTAAAACTGTCAGCTTTATTTCGAATCTTCGCTCTTTTGAGCAAGTCTCCAACATTAAAATCAATTACATCCTTCGTCAAATTTTTTGTAGGATCCAGAAACGCTCCTAAAAATTAAATGTTGCGTGAAAACATATCAATAGCTAATGATAATTGACAAACAATTATGAGTTATTTCAGCTAATTTTATGGAGGCTAATAATACCGATTAGTATTAATGGCGATCAGCAGCAATGGATGTGGAAACCGAAGATGTTTTTTTTCAGACATTTATTCATTAAATGATTAGTTATTGTTATTTATTTATTACCGGTTTATAATTCGAGCAATAACAATTATTGAACAAACATACCAAGCAAGCAGCGATAATGCATTGTCTTTGCAAATGCTCTTTTTCCAGATATTCCATCCTTGCTAAATAGGTTTTGGACATCACGAACCATCAAAATATCTAGTGCAAGCCTTACAGTTGCTCGCAAATCCTTACTTTCAAGTGCCTTTAAAGCTATTTTCTATTTAAGAAATGTTATAAATTTTATTTTGATTAGGGAAAACATTCTTTTCGAAATTTAGATGTATGTAAAAATGTTTAAAAAAAACAGTACAAAAAAAGTTTTGATGGGGCAATTATATCTTACATACAACGCAAAGTTACAATCTAATAACTATTTACAACTATGAAAGGTATTATCGCCTCTATCAAAACCTTTTTATTATTTTTTTAATTTCTAATTTAATTTACAAAGTTTACTCCTTTTAGACTTTTCAATCTGTTTCAAACAAATTTTCATCCTAATTCCAGCTCATAAAATTTAAACCGTTCGATAACTGATAATACATAGATGGTAGATATAGTAATATATGACCTTCTTAAAAACCATCATAGAATGTTTGAAAAAACCAACAAAAATTTTATCTATGCATTCAAATCCTCAACCTAGCCGCTGAACAGCAAACTAATAGAACTCGTAGAATAGAAAATTATAAAGGCATAAACTAATTAAGAAGTTAATTTAAAAAATGTATTTGTTGCTTATGATAATAATGATTATATAAATAAATACCTTTTTATCTCAATATGTTTTATTTTGAAGTTTAACTTCCTCTATATCAAACTCTTCAATTGATAATATAGGTTGCATATCTTCAACTCCAACACTTGAATCACCATTAACACCATCAATTAGAGATGCTAATGAATTTGTAATCTGGATTTGGTTATTCTCTAATTGCTTTATTTTCATTAACATAACATACTGAAACTGTAAAAAAACAATTATGCTCATGTTTATAATAAATTTATAACTAAAAAAGAAATTAATTAAAATAAAAATATGGACAAAAAATCAAAGTGTTGAATGAAAAACTTACATTTATTTATCATCTCTTTGAATCCAGCTCCACCATCAGCAAAAGTATTTAAGGATGTTTTACGAGATGATCGACTTTTGCTAGCAGAGTATGAAAGAGGAGAGATTTCTAAAAGTTCTTCTCTTCTATTTCCAATAGAGGAAGATGATGATGCAATTAAAGCAGGTAATGTGGTTCTGCTTTTACTCAAAATCTAAAGATAAGTATCTAGGTTTGCTGCTTTCTTATCTTTGTTTTGCTTTAAATTAGTAAACTTACTTTTCTGCATAGATGAATTTAAAAAAGAAGATAATACAAAGACAGGAAGATTCTCTTCTCTGAAGTGTATTCTATCTAATTTTACATTAGTAGAAGGTGCTTTCTTATTGTAAGGTGATGGTGATTTCTTAACTTCTAAAACTGGACTCAAAGTCCGAGGCAGTTTCTTGGGCAATGCTAAATATATATACAACTCTAAATCTAATTATACAAAATAAATTAATGAATAACTATTGACTTTTTTTCATATTCTTTGAACCTTAAGTGAGAAAATAAGCTGCGTAATATTTTATATCAGTCGTAAAAAATATGTGAGTTACAATTAAACTAAAGAATTATTGAAATGAACTGAAAAAAGAAAACACTAAGTACCGTTGCCATCATCAGAAGATGAAACATCCTCAGCTGCAGTTGCAAAATCAACCAACTCCTGTGCTTCCTCGCGGGTGCTTTGGTGAAGCAAAAACTCCACTATTGGGTATGTTACCCAAGTAAGCTCAGGTGATTGTTGCAAAAACTCTACTTTTGGGTATGTTACCCAAGTAAGCTCAGGGGATGTTGTTTAAAATAGAAATCTAAAGACTTAGATTCGTTTAGTGGCCAGAAGATTTGATGATTTAAAG